AACACTGGCGCCGATACCGACTTTGTCAGGGGCGCCGAGCTCCTATATTCACGTCCCTCTGTTACCGAAGATTATTGCTGTCGCGTTATTACCGAAGAATTTTTGCTGTCGCGGTATTACCGAAAATTATCCTTGTCGCGTTTATTACCTGAGAATTTCGTGTCTTGGCTACCGCTCTCGCGCCGTGCCTGGGGTGTTCGCGTCGCGGAGGAGTCGTGTGGCGAGATCGCAGCGGCTGTGCGTAACGGATGTGCATAGTCGCCTTTGCGGCGGTGCTCGTTGCACGGCGGTCCTCTGGCCGGAGTTAGCGCCGGATAGCGGGGTGGTGGCGTATGGAGCCGCGGTAATGCCGGGAAGATTCACTTGAACCGGCTGAGAGCATCACTCTCAGGGCCGCTCTCCGATTCGTTCCACGGGGCATTGCCGTCGGCAAAAATTTGAGATCGGTTGTCATATTGCTTTTCTTGATTGCGGGTATACCGTCAGATTTCGAGTCGTGGCGTTGCGTTGGTTGGGGGAAATGTAGATACGTGGGTCTATCGAGGCGGACGGGTTGACCTCGCTTGTTGTGTATAAACGAGATACCGAGCGAACGGCGAGTCGCGCGAGTCCCGTATTAGCGCAGAGTATAATGATGTCCGGAAATTTTGTGACTACCGTGGAGTAGCGTGGGAGACTTCGTGATACCGAATGGAGTAACTGATTGTTAGTGGAGAGTCGAAGAATGTTAAGATGATTAATGTGGCTACCGTAGAATAAGGTAGTGACCGCCTTGTGACTAATTCTATTAAAGCATTTATTAATTATTCCTGTGTGTGATTATTGCGGAAAGATCGACAGGCCCATCGCCCAGAATAACCCCCCCCCCCCTTGAGAGGGGACGTCTCATACTGAGCTACCGTACTGTAAGAATTCTGTGTTTTACGTGCTTTCGAGTGGCGCGAACAATCGCGCCTAGCGCCCAAAAATTGCCGTACCGCGCTCGAGTATACCGAGCGACTTGCGAATTCACCCTTTCGTGTGTTAACATTCTTTATTTCTTCCCAAGGGAAACAATTTGAAAAAGATAAAAAATGTTAATCCAAAAGGTAAAAAATTACCTGACATTGGAACAATCGGTCCTCAGTAACACGAATATTTAGTTTTGCGAACTTCCGCGAATAAGGACAGTGTCGCGTCTACACACAATGAAGAGGATATTCTTCTTTTGAAAATGTGTTTAGTCTCAACGTGAAAATCTTGAAATGATATTATAATATATTGCGTTAAAGATGATAACAGTATTTACGTAATGTATCGCATTTGAGCGAGTTTTTTTGCAGTATTCCGTTTATAATTATTTTGATTAATGTCAATTCCATATATCTTGCAGCGTTCAACATTTCATCGATCCTCTCTCGATAAATGTTGATATTACTACTGTGCTAGAACGTTGTACTTCACCTATGTTTAATTTACTCTCATACTTTCATTCACTCTTAATTCATTTTTTATTCACTCATATTTTAAGCCATACCTTTGTTATACATTATGATATACAGTCTCCTGTACATATTACTTTAAAGGGATCATTTTTAGAGAAAAATTCCGATTCTACATGATGTGTCATGTAAGCTAGAAGATGCCTGGTCATCTTTGTGCCTTATACCCTGAGCTAAAATCACAAATTGGTTACTAATCGGAGACGAGATTTGTAATTGATAACTGTCTACTACAGAATCTACTACGTACATGTGTCTTAAAATTGCCGAAAATTTACATACTGCGAGCGGTGGTTGCATTAAGCTAAGAACGTTTAATGTAAAAATTTGGTATCTTACATAAATAAATGATATTTTTATTGGCAACACACTTTGTATAAATCGATTGTATAAAAAGATGAGTCATTTCATGAAATCCGTTATCAATTGTGACACGGAGCTCGCTTTAAATCACAGTCGCTTCTGGGCAAAAAAGCGGGAGAACTTGCGTATATGTTACATACAGGGAATTAGCAATTCTGAGAAGGCATTATAGTATTATATGTTCATGTGTAACTTGGATGCGTCATCGTGCTCATTGGACGTAATTGAACGTCAGCGATAATACCGCTTTTTTTTTCTAGTAGAAACGACGTACAAATATATAAGACAGTAAGTTTATCATAAAAAAAAAGTAAGATGAATCAGTACGAACTTATGGAGGAAAAACAGTGAGATATTCTGTATCTCGATTCTCGCTCGCGTTATGTATCTCGGTGGCTGTGTGCGCGCGCCTGTGTACGGGAGCCTGTAATTGTGGGGCTGCCCGGGAGTGGGGCACCAGCCGCATAAAGTCCATCTCTCTAGTGGGACTTGTGTTTATAGTGCATACGCACAGCGATCGACAGCAGCAACTTTCACAGTGAGTACACCTTCGAGCTGGTACATTTTCAACATTTTCAACATCCTCTCCTGTCGACCGTTCACTTTTCACGTAAGCATCCCTGCAACGATTATCTAAATTTCTATTCGTACGTTTCGGGAGAAAAGGAAGACGTTCACTATGTTCTGCGCGGAGCGAGACGAGAAAGCGACAGTGATTAAAGACGAGAGCGTCGCTACTGCTGTCTCTACGAAATAAATCCTGATTTTGCGCCTGTAACGAAGGAGTTTCCCGCGGGCGGAAAGACACTAATTGATTTACGTCGGTGCGCACACGGAATGAGAATATTCCCGTGCGTAGTGAAAGGTCGCAGCGGGTCGATCCTAATCGTGAATTCGTCAGTCATCGCCGCGCATTTATTATCGCGTGGATAGCGAAGGAGAAAGAGAGAGATGAAGTACAATAGCGCGGAGACATAAATCGGAGGTCCTTGCTCTGCGATGCGTGTCCAAGGCGAGCGTGAATCATGCTACTCTATCGGTTGTACTTGGGAGTCCGAGATTGTGGCTGCGCGCGTTTATCTAAAAAATGTATTCGATACCAGACGTATTGTTACGCGTATCAGGAAGTCGGGCTAAAGTATTCGGGGAAAAAACAATGCGCGTGACGTCACCACTTCCGTCGAAACCTTCGTAATTGCGTCGGGCACGAGATCCGATTTGTATCGCGCACCGTCCGCGCACAGAAAATTGTTATTAGTAGATGCTCTTTCATTGAGTTTTTTTTCATTCTATATTATTTCTGTACCGTCGCTGTTCGCAGAAGAATTGTTAATAGAGGAGGTCCCCTATCATGCGATAGGCTCCTAGTACGAGATAGCGGGGTTTCTGTTAAATTAATAAGGCATCATCTGTTGATCAAGCTTCTAATCGACCGTGGCTGGCGATGTGTTTTTAACACAGAAAATTGATCGCGACAAATATTACCTCAGCCAGGGTTTGAACCTGGACCTGCCTACACTCTAGGCGGGCGTCTCACCAATTCGACCACCGCGGTAATACTTTTCGCAATAAATTTTCTGTGTTAAAAACACATCGCCAGTCATGGTCGATTAGAAGCTTGATCGTTGTTAGTCATTTGCTGGCGTCATATAATTCTCGATGTTATCGTTGATTCCACCATGAATTTATTGCCCCTGGGGCGAAAACTGTTTGGTGAAAAATTCATTCTTAGATTGTGTAGTCGTTGCAAAAAAAGATTTGCGATTGAATTTGGGTAACGAAAGCCAGCTATCTCATGTTAGAAACCTATCTCATAGAGGACTTTCCTTCATAACGGTTGCAGAACCTGAAATAATGATAGTAAGCGACTAATGAGAACGCGAATTTTTGTTATCAAAGATTAGAAATGCACAAACAGTTACTTGCTACTGATAATTCATACCAAGTTTTCAGGAAAATCCCGATATGCGTGTACGGTAATCTCAGAAACCAAAGTCGCTTGAGCGATGTGTTCATTTACTTTCTTTTTTTCCCCAGAAGATGCAGTCCTTGACCTGGTGTTTGGTATTGGCGGGATGCCTCGCTCTCGCACAGGCTCATTCGTATCACATGGGTGCTTGTCCCATTGTGGAACCTGCGCAGGGTTTCCAGATGAGTAGAGTGAGTCGAAGAATTTATATTCAAACAGGGAATATTATGCGGCATAGATTTTTATCTTTACTTTCGTCGCGAGCGAAATATACTGGGAAAGACTCTCGTCGGATAAAACAATTAAACAGTGTTTCCGATGGTCAATTTTTCCGATTCAATTATGAATACATCCGATGAAATTTCATTGAAAAACCGATCACATTTTTCATCGGGTTGTTATTACGTAATTGGATTATCCGATTATAATTAATCGGAGACAGTTTTCTCAGTGTAGTAATTTGTGAAAAGTTTTCATTTTGCAACAACAAATTAATTCCAGAAATAATCGGTTTGCGTGAAATTTTAGTTCCTAGGCCTGTGGTACGTCATCCAGAAAACGTCGACCGGCAGCAAGTGCATCACTTACAACTACACGCGGGGAGAGGAGCCGGGCGAGTACGTGATAACGCAGGACTCGGATCATCTGATCTTAGGTGAGACAATTAAAAAGCAATTAAGCGCAATTGGCGAAGAAAGGAGGCGATACGCGAGCGCTTCTACGAAGCGCGTATCGGGCTCCATCGCGTCATAAAAGCCCGTCAATGGGATAAATGTCTAGCAAGTGGGATGAATTATCCGTAATTGGGCGATGAATATGTACAGGTCTTACGCCATTGAAGCACGAGTATCATTATACTGGCCAGCTGACTGTACCCGAACCGAGTACTCCAGGACGTATGGAGGTCCGCTTTCCTCTCAGTAAGTGTCTTAACACGATTTCACGTCGTAATATTTAAAAACGGAAGGGACAGTTTTTACAGATTTTATGAAAATGAGAGAACATCGTAGATAAAAATTCTGCACGCTGCGTAACAAAGCCCGATTGAAGAGAAACGTACGTTCAGATGTAGCCGCGGCGGCCACCTTCTCCTCCTCCTCCTCCTTTTCCTTCTCAATTTATCACAATGACAAGATATTAGACAAATTGAAGATAGAAATTTGCCGCGTACCAATCTCGCGATAAACAATAATTCTCGCTTAATAATTTACGAATTGCAAGTCAAGACATTATCGAGTTGTGCAACTGAAATTCGTACCTGTGATTTAGATGTGGCCGGAAGCGCGTCCCATGTGGTATTCTTGACGGATTACGACACCTACGCCGGTATATTCACGTGCCAGAAGCTGGCGTTCGCCCATCGACAGAGCGCGACGATCCTCTCGAGGACCAGGACACTGGATCAGGCGGATGTGGACAAGATACGTCAGCGGTTGGGCCAGTACGGCGTCGACCCGTACGACCTGAGCATTATCGCGCAGTCCGGCTGCTCGCAGGGCAACAATACCGTGGACATCAACATCGATCCCAACACCTTCACTTCGGAGAACCTCGGCAACGTGGTGCGCAAAGCGGGCGAGAAGATCGGCGACGGCTTCCATTGGATCGCCGAGACTGGCAGCCAGGTCTATCACAAGATAGCCGGGACAGAGGAGGAGCCGACGACGACAGAGCGAAACAACCGCGCTACGATAAACGGCGAGAGATTGGAGACCAACGACGTGGAGTGGATTCCCTAAAAAAACTCAACAGAGCGAACTCGTCAATTACTTTTTACGTCATTTGCGATCTCGATGCAATCAGTCCTTATTACTCGTCCGATAGATCTATTAAGGCCATTCTTTTAGTGCATGTTTGACCTTCAACCATTTTACTTGATTGCGACGTAAAACGAATTTAAAACGTAAATTTAATTGCGACGGAAGAGAAAGGAATCGTCATAGATTTAATCTCTTAAATTATGGATGATTTAAAAAATGCGAATACGCGTTTCTGATAATATGTACATTAAATCTGACATTCAATAAAACTTGAAAACGAAAGCATAATGTATATTTTTTATTGATATATTTTATGTTTCACCTAAGAATATAATTTATCAGTCGATGGTTCGACCTTACTCGCACTACTATGATTTACTTACAATACTTGGATATCTTGCAACGTTAAAAATATCGATAAATATTGATGCAATTGTTATTCGCGAGTGCTGATAAATTAACCAACGATTATCTCAATAACTCAAAATTATTTGCACAGTTTACACGTAAATTTTTCAGAAGGGCGCGAATTGGAACACGAGTCTTTCAAAATTAATGTAATATTAAAGAAAGAAAAACTGTATAAGAGTTGATCTGGCACTATTTTTTCTGTGCAGATTCGAGTCTCATCCGAGACTTTAGCCATCGCTTTTCAAGAGGATGTAATGTTGCACATCAATCGCACGATAAAATACAATAATTAAAGTAATAATGCCGAGGTTGTTTTATTGATTCATTTCCCAAGCCTGTTTCCAAGGGATTCCTTTCGGCAGGGTTGGAATTTCAAGGCGCACAAATGCCGAGCGACGTGGCGTGGCAACACCAGCGATAGGTGCACGAATAGATATGCGACGGGCGCGTGCCCCAACGGGAGATACGGGGTGTCCACCATAGCGTACCGGTACCCCGTGCCGATTTTGCGGCTTGCACCTTATTTCCATACGTTCCCATAGATAAGATCAGCGAGCACGTGGCTCGAGAGGGACGCGCATTGTCGCCGGCTGTGAAATAGTATCGGGGAGAAACAAACCCCCGTAATCTCTGCGACTGTATCGCAGATTTTCCCTTCGTGGAACTGCACGGGGTATTTGTCGAGCGTGGGAGCGCGGCGACGTTATACGTATTTGTATTTCTTTTTGCAGCTGATATTTATGTAAGATTTCTAAGCGAACGCGCGAACAGGATAACGAGGGGAAAAAATGATCGCCATTCTTCCGAGCCATTCCGAGATCGTGGCTTTGCGGAATCAAGGCGGGTCCGCATTTACGTTTCTCGGGGTACGAAAGTGAAAAAAAAGCAGAAACAAATGATACGCCCCCTATTTACCCGCGTGAGTGTAAACCGCAAGGTAGAGTGTGGCGGACAGAAACCAACATCCTTACTCCATGACCAAAAGGAAAGGAGGAAAACGAGTTCAAATCAAACGCGTTAAATATCAAATCAAGCAGGTGCTAAACTCTAACAAAGATCCTATACCTTTCCTGCTTAAATTAAGAGAACTTGAATCCAAGGACAACAGCTCAATCGCGAAATCACAAAATTATAAACTAATTCCAATAGATTTCGAGGTCAATTACTTAAATTATAAGTTTATTAATAAAGACGATCCTCGTTACAAAGTTTATCGAAATCGTTATCTCTTTGGTCCGGAAGACTGATTAAAAGTCATTAGATTCACACAATCGAGTCCAAATCCCCGGTAAAGCACTTAAATGTGTTGACCGAAAAACGGACGAAACTTTGACTTTGTCAGACCTTGACGGAACGTGACAAATTACAAGATTATTCGAGCAACAAACTCAGCTCATTCGCAGTCTCTCGGACTCGAGTAGCACTAATCCTGAGTCTAAGGTCAAGTTGCCGGTGGTCAAACTTCCAACCTTCGACGGACGCACGGAAGAGTGGAAGCGATTCGCGGAGACCTATCAGGCGATGATACACAACAACGAGAGCATCCCAAATATCCAGAAGTTTCAATATTTGGTAACATCCTTGAGCGGCATCGCAGCTAAGGTAATCGAATCTATCGAGCTTTCTGACGCGAATTACACAGTAAATTGATAAGTCAAATCGACATTTTTGTCGATTTGAAAAATATTCCAGATTGTGATGCTTTCAAAAATATCTATTACAACGTATTCTAGGCTATTTGCCAAAGAGTTTGAAATATTGCAACGTATTCCAACATATTCCACCTTATTTGCCAAAGATTACGCTACAATGTAACGTATTCTAGTCTATTTGCCAAAAATTTCGA